GTACAACCACTATGGAAAACTGTTTGGAGGTTCCTAAAACTGCTAAACATGGAGCTTCCCTATGACCCAGCAATCCCACTCCTAGGTATCTACCCAAAAGACACAAAAACACTGATTGAAAAAGATACTTGTACCCCCATGTTGATTGCTGCTTTATTTACAATTGGAAAAACATGGAAGCAGCCCAAATGCCCAAAAGTAGACGACTGGATAAAAAAGATGTGGTACATATATACAATGGAATATTACTCAGCAACCAAAAAAGAGAAACACATGTCTTTTGCAGCAACTTGGATGGAGCTGGAAAAGATCATGCTTAGCGAGATAAGCCAGAAAGAGAAAGAAAAATACCGGACGGTGTCACTCATAGCAGGAGTATAATGGACCAGGCGAGAAAATAACAAAAATAATGAACAACCATATACCAGAGACATTTTGCGGGGGCAGAGTGGGGGATGGGATCAGAACAGGAGAAGGGAGGGAAATGCACAGGACTATGGTGGTGGCACAGGGGTGATTTGGTGATGGGAAACCCGCGGGGATTACAATCGAGCTGGAAAAAAAAATGTGCAAAATGATGTAAAAATAAACTTTGTAATAAAAAAAATAATAAAATAAAGTAAAGTTTGTTGTTTTTCAGTTTTAACTGAGTCAAACGGAGGCGGTGAGAGAGGCCACTGGAGGTTCATGAGCAGGTGCAGATGAGGTCAGTCCTGTGCTTGAGATTATCCCAGCTGCAAGGCTTACAGTGGGAAAGGCTTACAGTGCAGGAGAGCGGAGGGGAGGCCCCAACTCTTCCTCCCACTGAATAGAACAGTCATTTGGGACTTGTCTCACACCCCACTTGAGATTCTTCCCAACCGAAGGTTTATCATGTTCAGCTAAACCACCAGGACACAAATCAGTCCATATTAAAATTGCAGAAAGGACTAGAGATAACCCAACTACCCACCAGCAAGTGAATGGACTAACAAGTGTAGCAGGGACAGGAATGGGAGCAAAGGAGGACACTGGTGAAGGGGCAGGAGGGGAGGATGATGAAGGGTACAAGGGGGTGGGGTGTGAATATGTTTTCATTGCAGTGCTGTTTTCCTATAGATACATTTATTGTTAAAACTTTGCAATTGTTCATTAAATATATGCCTTGGTAGAGTTGACATTTTTTAAGTAGAGGAAGATTAAAGGGCATCATCTGAGCCAGAAGACATGCTCTTGGCTTGTAGTAAGGCATTGATCAAATCAGAGGGAAGGGCAGTCCAGTCCTAACCACCTGAGCAAGTTACTTAACTTCTCTGAGACCCAGTTAAGGGTGGTAATTGTGAGGCAAAGCATGGAAACCACTAGCAGAGGAGCAGCTGATTAACAGTGTTCAATACGTGGAAGAAATGATAATTATTACCGCAACAAATAAGCAAATATTTACAGATCTCTGAGCTGAAGTGATCAGATTTTTAGAAGGATTGATCTAATTACTACTCTCTCTCCAAAGTTAAATGACCACTTTCTCCTTAGCTCTTTCTGTCACTGCCTTCCAGGAAGTCCCATGTCCAGGGGGATCTGGCAGCACCATGAATAAAGGAAGCCCAGTGGTGAGCCCTATCGCTGCCGGGACCAAAGAAACCTCTGGGATGAAGAGCAGAGCCCTGCAGTCCCATCCTCAGTCACCCCATCCTCAGTCACCACCTGGGCCCAGATTCACAGCCAGGGTGCATCCTGAAGAGAATAAAGCAGGTAGGAGTTCTTCATTTTACTATTAAAGCACAGATAACCACCACCCCCCCATCTGGAAGGTGGGGGAGGCCAGATTTTCAGAGTGAGCTTGCTTTCTTACACACTGCTTCGTGCTTATTCATTCTCTTAAGTTTCTCATAAGCCTCTCTGCCACCGTTTCCTCACCTGTCAAATGGGAGTCAATAGTACTTTTGTGAAGATTCAATGAGTGTGAAGAGCCCAGAACACTGTCCCATGCGTATTAGGTGGCTGACTTTAAGGACTTACTCTCCTGTTTGTTAGGTTTATTTTCAGGGTCACTCATGTGTTGTCCAATTACCAAATATTAAGAGTTTCCCTGGAAGGAGCTATTTCAGCCCCTGTGGGGTAAAAGTGATTTGGCTGTGGGTTTATTCATCCTCCAAGCCCGAGGCACCATCCTCTCCACAGACCAGGCAGTGCTGTATCTGTTAATTTCATTCAACTAGAAAAATACACTGACTGCAGGTAAAGAATCCAGTCGAGCTTTTTAATTAATTGGTAACTTTATTAACAACAGCATCTAACCACAGTTGAGAACACACATTTGAGGAACAAAAAACGCATTCAGTCAGTCTTTGATGTCTGGTGTCCTTATGGGTGCAGGAAACCATGGAAAGGACTCCAGGCCCCAGTAGCCAAAATCAAAGTGGAGTAACTGATGAGACCCTAAGTAAAAATAAAGGCTAGACAGCTTCAACTTCTGTAATGACAAAGTAAAAATGCAACTGTCCTCTCACCTGAGGCTGCGAGGGGACCACGTTGCTGCTTAACCAACGCACCAACCCCTTTGCTCCTCCCCTCCTCTGCAGGAGGGACTGAGGACACCGCCTCACAGGGTCTATCAGTCGCCTAAAGCGTGAGGTGGGAAGTACAAATGAGTATAAACTAAACGTGGGGAACAGAGGGCCAGGACAGTAAAGGGGAAGGAGGAATGCTCCAAATCTGAGTTAAAGAAAATCCTGCTGATGGGATGACACCTCCTGCCTCGCCAGGGTCACGCATCACAGGCTGTCTCCCAGCTGCGGCCCTCTAGTGACCAGGCGCAGAACTCGGAAGGGGCTTCGGAGACACCGTGTTCACACGCACGTCCGGAATGAGCCGCGTGGGACGCCCCCACCCGCGGCAGTGATCACGCGATGGGACGGAAACGCATTCCTGGAAGTGTTAGCGGAGCCAGGCGCGACTGGCGCTGACCACGAGTGGAAAACCAGACCCGAGTCAGAGCGCGCTAAGGGCTTGAAGTCAGTAGAGGAGATAAACCACCGCCCGCTGCTGACGGCGGCAGTGAAGGAAAGCGGCTCCGCGCTGAGCCAGGCAGGGGCGCCGGCCCGACTCCCGGCGGGCGACCTGGAGCCCAGGCCCAGCAGCAGAGCGCCGCGGCGGCAGAAGCCTGGGCACGCCGCGGAAGGCGGAGACGCAGCCAACAAATCAAGAAGCTTCAAAACCCCCAAACGGCCGCAAACCATGAATGATGAGGTGGAGGCGCGTGATTTTGAATATTCACGTCGTCCAATCAAGGAGGCTGACGCGCCGCGCGGGCTGTGCCGTGCTGGTCCGCACCGAAGGCAACATCGTGGGCAGGACGGCGACAAGGCAGAGGGGCCGCGCGAGACGCCGAGTCCACGAGACCGGGACCGCTGTCCTGAGCGCGTAGCGCGCAACCACTCCGCCTTGGAGGGCGGCGAGCACCTGCCCGAGCCACCACGGCGGCCTGGGGCTTGGCCAGGGGGGCGGACGCCAGACACCTCAGTTTAATGTGACCCGGGGCAGCCAAGCGCGGCAGCGTTTACGAGGCGCCCCAGGGGCCAAGCGGAACGGGCCCCGCCAGCTGCGCGTGCCGCCTCAGGGGCTCCCGCGACTGCAGCGAGCTACTGTGCGAAGCGGCTGGATCTAAGGGAAGTGAACAAAGCTCTTTCTGGTGACTCGGTGGTGGCTCTGAAAAGAGCCTTTGGAGCCAAGCGGCTGGCGGGCGTCCAGGGCGAGCGCCGCGTCCCGGTTGGCGGGGACTCACTTGGAGCTGGTGTACTTGGTGACGGCCTTGGTGCCCTCGGACACGGCGTGCTTGGCCAGCTCGCCGGGCAGCAGCAGGCGCACGGCCGTCTGGATCTCCCGCGACGTGATGGTCGAGCGCTTGTTGTAGTGCGCCAGGCGGGAGGCCTCGCCGGCGATGCGCTCGAAGATGTCGTTGACGAAGGAGTTCATGATGCCCATGGCCTTGGACGAGATGCCCGTGTCGGGGTGCACCTGCTTCAGCACCTTGTACACGTAGATGGAGTAGCTCTCCTTGCGGCTGCGCTTGCGCTTCTTGCCGTCCTTCTTCTGGGCTTTGGTGACGGCTTTCTTGGAACCCTTCTTGGGCGCGGGAGCAGACTTGGCCGGCTCAGGCATTGTGAAACGCAACGCTGGCCAGCGAAGAACAGAAGTGGAAGAAGGGGCGGGCCTGATCCTTTTATAACCACCACATGCAAATGAGGGCTCCAAAAGCCCTGCATTGCCATTGGGCCATGTAAAGGCCTGGGCTTTCAGTAATAGGCTACGTAACAACGCTGACTCTTCACCTCATTGGTCGTCTCTGGAGCCAATTTAGGGCCAATGAAAAGCTCGTTCCTGACCCCACCCCTAGGAAAGCTTATAAAGGCTTTTCAGCTAGTTTTTTTTCAATCCTGTTTTTTTGAGATTCTGAGCGCTAAGTCTTCCACCTTTGCCAATCATGTCTGGCCGTGGCAAGCAGGGAGGCAAGGCCCGCGCCAAGGCCAAGTCGCGTTCGTCCCGCGCCGGCCTGCAGTTCCCGGTGGGGCGTGTGCACCGCCTGCTGCGCAAGGGCAACTACGCCGAGCGGGTGGGCGCCGGCGCGCCGGTGTACCTGGCGGCCGTCCTGGAGTACCTGACGGCCGAGATCCTGGAGCTGGCGGGCAACGCGGCCCGCGACAACAAGAAGACGCGCATCATCCCGCGCCACTTGCAGCTGGCCATCCGCAACGACGAGGAGCTCAACAAGCTGCTGGGCAAGGTGACCATCGCGCAGGGCGGAGTCCTGCCCAACATCCAGGCCGTGCTGCTGCCCAAGAAGACCGAAAGCCATAAGGCCAAAAGCAAATAAAACGCTGGCAAAGCAAAACCAAAGATCAAAGGCTCTTTTTAGAGCCACCCAAGTTTTCAAAAAAAGAGCTAATGCGCTATTTTGTGATCAGCCCTTCGTTTGACACTTTGGTGGCTCTTAAAAGAGCCTTTGGGTGAGTGGTAGTTTCAAGCGTCCCGATTACTTATTCTTGCCAGGCTTGTGACTCTCCGTTTTCTTGGGCAACAAGACAGCCTGGATGTTGGGTAGAACGCCCCCCTGGGCAATGGTGACACCCCCAAGTAACTTGTTGAGCTCCTCGTCATTTCTCACGGCTAGTTGCAAATGGCGCGGGATGATGCGCGTCTTCTTGTTGTCGCGGGCCGCGTTGCCCGCCAGCTCCAGGATCTCGGCCGTCAGGTACTCCAG